TCTTTCCCACCCTTTTCCTTCACATGTTTCCCACCCTTTTCTCCCCTCACATTTCCAGCCCTCTTCCCCTCGTTTCCCACTCTTTTCTCCCCTCATGTTTCTCGCCATTTTCTCCTCTCATGTTTCCCACCCTTTTCTCCCCTTGTGTTTCCCATCCTATTTCACTTCATGTTTCCTTCCCTTTTCCCCCTCACCTTTTAAGCCCTTTTCCCCCTCACCTTTCCCTCCCTTTTCTCCCCTCACGTTTCCCATCCTATTTCACTTCATGTTTCCTTCCCTTTTCCCCTCACGTTTCCCTCCCTTTTCTCCCCTCACATTTTGGACCATTTTTCCTCTCACATTTCCCACCATTTTCTCCCCTCACCTTTCTTTCCCTTTTACCCCCCTCATCTTTCCCTCCTTTTCCCCCCTCACATTTTGGGCCATTTTCCCCCCTCACCTTTCCCTCCTTTTTCTCCCCTCACATTTCCCACCTTTTTTTCCCCTCAAGTTTCTTGCCCTTTTCTCCCCTCACCTTTCTCTCCCTTTTCTCCCCTCACATTTTGGACCATTTTCCCCTTCACCTTTCTTTCCCTTTTCTCCTCTCACCTTTCCCTCCCTTTTCTCCCCTCACGTTTCCCATCCTATTTCATTTCATGTTTCCTTCCCTTTTCCCCTCACATTTCCCACCATTTTCTCCCCTCATGTTTCCCTCCCTTTCCTCCCCTCACATTTCTCACCATTTCCCCCCTCACCTTTCCCTCCTTTTCTCCCCTCATGTTTTGGACCATTTTTCCCCCCTCACGTTTCTCTCCCTTTTCTCCCCTCACATTTCCCAACTTTTTTTCCCCTCAAATTTCTCACCATTTTCTCTCCTCACATTTCCCTCCTTTTCTCCCCTCACATTTTGGACCATTTTCCCTCTCACCTTTCCCACCATTTCCTCTTCTCACATTTTTCACCATTTTCCCCCCTCACCTTTCCTTCCCTTTTCTCTCCTCAGATTTTGGACCATTTTCTCTCTCACATTTCCCTTCCTTTTCTCCCCTCACATTTCCCACCTTTTTTTCCCCTCAAGTTTCTTGTCCTTTTCCCCCCTCACCTTTCCTTCCCTTTTCTCCCCTCACATTTTG